GATCAGGCTGGTGGTGTTGCTGCAGCTGAGGTTGTCATTCAGGTGCACACCCAAGTACTTGTAGCTGGAGACCACAATATCTCCAGTTTAAATTAGCTTGTTTGCATTCCTATAGAGGTTTTGTTACAAATTATAAATTGTGTTTAACCTTTATTAATATTAATATTATTATTATTATTATTAATTCATCAGAGCTCATTTTAGAGAGTAAAACCTTTTGCCTGAGGGTCTGGGTAAACCATTGGATTTTAACCATTTGGCCCCAAATACCCTCAAACTAAAGGCAGCTTTTAAATCAATTCATTAAAATCAGGTCTTCAGTGATGAATTTTGAAGCAAAAGAAAACAGACTAAGTTTGGATTTTTATTTTTTCAGAAATTTTCAACAGAAGATGAATAAGAAGAAAAAATACCATTTGTAAAGCTTTGCCTCTAAATAAACCATCATTTATCTATAGAGACTTTTTCAAGCGTCAGTTCATGAGTAAAACTTCTGTCAGATAATTGTGGGTTTGAGTGGTGGACAGGACAAATACTTTTTTTAATCAAAGCTGCCAATTGTTACAAAGTTTTGTCATGAGAAATTTCTGAAAAATCATGAACGTACATAATTACTATGACTGAATTATAGCCACTTTTGAGTTGTCTAATATATATTAGTTGTGACGGCCATCTTGAATTGTATTGCCTTTATACATTAATCAGTTTTAGATGTGCACCCAGTGACTATTTTGTGAAGGTTTTATTAAAATCCGTCCAGTGGTGCATGAGATATTTTGCTAACAGATAAAGTGTTGACGTTAAGTATTTAATGGTGTGTCTTTAAACAGATATCTTATGCAATCTGCTAATGCTCAGATTATGTGTTGGGGATAATTGTCAGCAACAAACACACTAAATTTTAGGTCATTATCTGTAAAATTCACTGAGTTGTTGCCATTTGTTGTTGTTTTTTTTAATCCGTTGGCTGTGGTGGCCATCTTGAATCAGGCTGACTTCAGAAATAAAACAGTTATAGATGCACATCCAGTAATAACTTTCTGAGAGATTCATAAGAATTTGTCCAGCGGTTCAAGAGATATTTTGCTAACAGGCACATAAGCACAAGCAAAAACATAATTCAGCTTTGTCTTTTGGAGGCGAATGATACAAATACACATCTAATAATCTGGAGTAAGAGCTTACTTTGTACGTGTCTGCTTAGTATCGTAGAATCAAGTTTTTAAAAATCTAACAGCAGATTGAGGCTGAAACGGAAGATTAGAAGTTAAAAGCGGCAGATAAAAAAAGTGAAATAGTTTCCCTCCTGTTAGGCAGTTTGTAAGCAGCATCAGAAAAACACCTTTTGGCAAAGTGCAACTCTCCTGCACACGGGTCATCCTGGCTTTTAGAGCTGGAGGAAAATAACTGGCCCTGCCTTCCATCATGCTCTCATCCCACTGACCTCCACACAGGGTATAGTATACTTACAGCCCGTCGTGAGAGCGAGAGGGGGAGAAGAGGGAATGATTGCATATGTGAAGGCTTTAAAAGAGCACATGTGGACGGGAGAGGAGCGACATGATCGGACACATCTTTGCTTTCTTATTAGTGAGGGCTTGTGCGGACACTTTGGAGCCTTTTTATGGGGCCATGATGAAACCACCTCTTCATGCATCTGCAGAAAATGGCCAGGAGAAATCACCGATGAGAATCACTCAAAGACAGGGAGATGTCAACAGGCCCATAATGATAGCTGATGGGCCAAGAACACTCTCCCTCTCTTCCATCTCAGCCTTACCTGCCCAACTTGCACAATCCTTGAAAACATAATTAGAGGTAAAACAGAGAGACGGAAGCTTTAGCTCTCTGTTTTCTGTAAGCAGTGCTCTTTGTTTTATACATCTGGGAGTCATTTTTTCCTCCCTTTCCCAATCTCTCTTTCACTTCGTAGACAGGAGGAGGAGGAGGAGGGCTCCTTCTGTGAGACTCCAAGGTGCTCCCAGTCCATTGTGCTGCTGGCTGTCAGGTTAAATTAGGGAGTACAGGCTCCGTGAGTGTAAAAAAATCAATACGTGATGGAAGATTGCTCCCCGGAAAATCTGTTTTGATTCCAGGATTAATTCTTGACCAAAGGCTCCTGCAAAATGACATGCCATTAGCCTGAAAATGAACACATTCTGCAGTGGAAATTGGATGGAAATGTGTCAGGTGATTGCCCCGGCTTCTTGTTTTGACTCTTCAAGCGAGGGGACTTGGTGGCGGCTGAACCAGGCCTTTCGGGCCGACTCCATTTTCCAGGACAGAGACAACTCCGCTGTGGCCTCCGAGTATTCTCAAGGCCATTGTTGTCCAGCAGCTGCAAATGCACTCCGCCAAGGTGAAATGCATTTACCGTGTGTCCACTCTCTCCTGTGTTTTCCATAAAACACACCACGCAGAATCACAAAATCTGAAAATAAAACACTTTTTTTTTTCTCCTTCTACTCAACAGTGAGATAAAAGGTACCCAGATGCATTATTGATGAAAGAATAATGTGTTTGTCATCACCGATGACATTTTCTGCTTTGAAAAACTTAAACAGAAACCTGCAACGATGCTCTGGACAGTGATTTGAAGAGCCAGAAATGAACATTTATTTGTCACTTCATGCATTTCTGTGATATCTGACGCTCTTAACGGCATTTCTTTTTTCTTTTGAAAACATGCAGGCTCAATTTATTTGTCATTCATTTGTTTTTCATGCATTGCTGTACAACTGGAAGTTTGTTTTCGAATAAAAGCGTGAGTGCACATACAATGTTTTTTCTTAAAGTGTTTTTCTAATGATTGTCGGTAATAAAACTGCTTTACAATTTAAAACCTGCTCTTTTCTTGATGTTTTTAAGCTACATCACTTTTTTTTAAATGATTTAATTGAGTTAATCTTTATATACTTCTTTTAAAAATCTCACCCATGTCAGTATTTGATATTTTGTTGTATCTCCTCTAACAATATATTGTTTTATACTTTGTGTCGGAATTTAATAATCAAATTTTTTAAGTTTTGTACATTTAAAAAATTCAAACCATCAAGGATAATTTTTTTATGCTCTTCTCCGAACTATAACACGACTGAATGTGATGTTTCCTGCAGTTTACTATAAGTACCGTGTATCTAATGGGAGATGTTAGATAAAACAAGGCTTATTTGTATTGGAAATACAAGAATATATTACAGATAAATCCCAAGTTATTCTAATACGAAATAATTAAACAGTATTTAAAGTATTAAAAACAACAGACAAGCAATTAAAAAAATAATAATAAATGCATGTAAGAGCTTGTGATGTGCTGGTGTTGTCAAATTAGACATCTAGCTTTAAAGTGAGGCTTTAGCGCCCCCTGCTGGATTTATTGATTAATACCTTCTTATAGTCAGTCACAATGACCGATTTAAAAAAAAAAACTCCATCCTTGAATAAAGTATTTTGTATTGCTTTGAAATTATTTAAACTCTGTGAATGAGTTGTGAAAGGGAACTGTAGCATAACAAAAACTAAAGCTGTTATCAACAGTTTTCACAACATGTCAGTAAAATGCATAACTGAGAAGACGAAACATGAACTGTCTTTTATTTGCAATGTTTGTTGTTGTTGTTGTTTTTCCATTATTTAATTTTATAAGCTTTAGATCCTCAATAAAACAATATTCTTAATGTGATTTATTTGTTGACAATACAGGAACAGTGATATTTTACTGGTGGTGTTCACAAGAAGTCACTCAGCTGTTCACAGACTATTACAAAATAAACTTATTGGGGTTTTTTCGAACTTGTGCAGGAAATAAAAACACAAATTACACAGTAAAACCTTTACATATAATGCTTATTATGGAAAATAGCAACTATTTAAAGCAGTTTAATTAATTATTTTAAATCTGAGACATGTTTTTTTTAATCTTTTTTTATTTATTTGTTTTTTTTTACAAAACATTAGCTTTATAAGAACACAGTTCAAATAAATTTAATCAATCTGAATTCAAGTTTAAAACTAACTTTACGTGATGTAGCATAGTTACTGTAAAGTAATTTTCATTTGACTACATTCAATCATGAATAATTTAATAACGGCTTCGGAAAAAGAAGCCCAGAACAGTTTTAATTATCTGTCGCTCCTCCTGCTATAGATTCAGATGGTTAAATGTATGATTACATATTCGAATGTTACTAAAAAAACATATTTGATTATAAATGGTTGTGACTTTATAGACAGAAAATATTATAATAAATTCATAAGAATATGCTGACCTCATTTTCTTCCCCTCTACACTGAGAAAAAAACATCTGTTTAAAAATTATGATAATATCTCTAAAAAAAATCAAAACCAAATATCTTTCCTTTCCACTCCCACATAAAATCTAAAGAAATTAATTTAAAAACGATGGATGTAATTTATCCTTGTAATGACTTATTACAAAATAAATTTAATATAAATACAAATTCCTGCATTCTGTAGTTCAGATATTGAGACAGCAGAACACCTTTTTTTTTTATTGCAGTTTAATAAATGTTTTTTGGAAGGGTTTTCAAAATTGGATCTTATCTAAGAGTTTTATTCCACCTTTAAATTTTGATATAATAAAATTTGGTCTGTTAACAGGCGATGAAGATTTAAATTATGGTAATAACAATTAAATCCTTCTGGCTAAGTTTTTTATTCACATATGCCGTTTCCTGAAAATTACTCCCATTTTCAACATTTTGTAAGTTAAATATTTTTATTTAAGGAAGTGCTTAAACGCTGCAACCTTCCAAAAGCCCATTATACCAGTAACTTAGTTTAAGACCTCTTGCATTTGTAACATTTTTTTCCCTCAAACTGTTTATTTTCTGTTTTATTTTATTTTATTTTTCTTCATAATTTCTGCTCAGTTGTATCATGTCAAATTATGTTATTGTTGTATTATACTACTGTGTTCTTTTCTCTTGAATTTTCAATAAAGGTAAAAAAAAAAAAAGGAAAAAAAGTCGCTGGTTGATGACGTCACGCCGTCGCCGCTGAGGCAGCAGAATTAGCCGGTACATTAGTCAACGTTCAGACGCTTTTAAGACATATACACAGAGTTTTACTCTGAACTTACGATGTCTTGGGTTAAAGCTGTTCCGTCCAGTGGTGAAGACGTGTTCGACGAGAACGGGGATGAGCTTAATTTACAAAGTAAAGAGTGGACGTCCAACATGAAGAAACGCGTCATGGTAAAGTTAGCCTAAAATGTTTGGTTCTAGTGGAACTCTCATCACTGAGGGTCGCAGCTTCATAAAATGATTACTCTGCTGGTTTGTGACGTGGACAGGATGGGTATGTGGACGGAGTCGGTGCCGGGGAGGAGGCCTCCCTACAGGTCGGCTTTAACCTGGGCTTTAAAGAAGGAGCAGCTCAGACTGAGGCTGTGGGTCGACTCAAAGGAATCATCAGGTAAATACGTTTCTCTTACAAGGGTCAGCCAAGTTTGTGCTTCATTTTAACTCCACGTTCACAAGGTTGGAGGGAGTACGAACCATAAAAATCCAGTTATTATTTTTATAAATGTCATCTTTACCTGATTATTATTATTATAAACTAGCAGAAAGCTTATTTTATGTTCCTTTTGTCAGCACTCAAACATCTAAAGTTGCTTCTTCCATGATGATTAGATTCATAAATTCAAACCAAATTCATAAAAATAAAATATTCTCTCCTGGTCTTCTTTTTCAATCATATAATTGTAAGTAAGTCACAACAGAAATCGTCTCAGGGCACAGAACAGAAACTTTCATATACAGTATACAAAATAATAAGTTAACACTATTTATCTGTCATTTACTATTATTTATTTATATATATGACTATTTCTTTAACATGTCTTTATGACTTTGACAGGCCTAATGATGCATTATAAACTAAAATGTATCTATAAATACCATTGGTTATGAGTTATACTAAATTCTAGGCACTGGTTGAACTTAGCTTAATGTTATCACCATTATTATTGTAAAATTACTGTCAGTAGGAGACGAATTGTTTGGTAGCAATTCACTCATCGAATGATAGATTACTGCAGTCAATATTATTATTATTTGTTATTTTTTAAATGTTTCCCACTTGTGTTACAATCTCTTTTGAATCAACGCTTCTTTCACGTTTGGAAACATCCTGACTCTGCTTTGTTCTGACAATAATTGACGTTTTCTGCTCATTAGAAGCCTGTCCTAGTCAGTTCTGTGTTTTTGTATGTAACACTGTTGCCTCTTTGTGTACCATCCCACAGTGCTGTGTGGTGCTGGTGCCAGATCCATCATCCGGAAACGCCCGTCCCAGCCTCTGTGACTGACCTGCTGCATCAGGTAACACGGCATGAAGACCAAATCATGAACCGCATCAGGCAAACTTTGGAGAATCCTCCTCCAAGTGTGAGCGATGTCTCGGAGAGCATGGACGATCTGGAGGTGGAACAGCCAAATTCAGGGTGCAGTAAAGAGAGTTGCAACAAGCCGGACTGTTGCAGGACTGGACAGAAAATGGACATGGATGGTCCTCATCAGCCACAACATCCTTTCTCAGAGTCCAGTGACTGTTCCTCTGGCCAACATGGAGGTCTAGACCTGCTGCTGCAGCGTTGTATGGACATAGTGTCAGAGCTGGGACTGCCACAGGAGCTGATTGGACACATACAGGAGCTGAGGAACATCTAATCAATAAATAAATAAATGTGTTATGTGTTGTCATCATTGTATGTTCCCATACAATGGCGATATTGGCTCTCTGCATTTGGCCCATCGCACCTGGGATGCACTCGTGTGGGGCAGTGGGCGGCTGTTGGGGGTGCCAGGGGGGCTATTGGTGATGGGATGTGCTGCTCAGAGACACCACGAGATCGAGATGTGTAATGACTGGAGATCGAGCCTGGGACTTTGGGCTTCCGTGTCGGCTGCCGTGCCTCTACCCCATCCACCCCCAACGATCAGGCTATCACAGCAAATACTGACAACAGGACTTGGAAAAGCAAGTTATATTGCCATATGTATACGCACGAGGATATTTGAAGTATATTTTGTAAAATATTTTGTACTTGCAGGTTCAGGAGAATATTAAAAACATGTTTGATAATGAAAAAATAATTTCAGTCTTTCATATCAATCACAGTGTAATAAAATTTCAGAACCATGAAAAATGTGTGCGTGTATATATATATATATGTGTGTATATATGTATGTATATATATATGTGTGTGTATATATATATAAATATATGTATGTATATATATGTATGTGTATATATATGTATGTGTATATATATGTATGTGTATATATGTATGTATATATATATACATGTATATATATATATATATATATATACACATATGTATATATATTTACACATATATATATATATATACACATATATATATGTACACATATATATACACATACATATATATACACATATATAAATTTATACATACATATATATACATAAATATGTATACATACATATATATACATACATAAATATATATATATATACACACATATATATATAAACATATATATATGTATATATACATATGTATATATACATACATTTATATATACATATATATATATATATATATACATACATTTATATATACATACATACATACATATATATACATACATACATATATACATACATATATATATATACATACATATATATATACATATATGTATTTGTATATGTATATATACATATATACATATATATATATACATATATATATACATACATTTATATATATACATATGTATATATATATATATATACATGTTTATACATAAATATATACATACATATATATATACATATATGTATTTGTATATGTATATATACATATATACATATATATATATACATATATATATACATACATTTATATATATACATATGTATATATATATATATATACATGTTTATACATAAATATATACATACATATATATATACATATATGTATTTGTATATGTATA